GTTCACACACATTTGATTTGTTTTAGTCAAAACACATTGGGGGATTTCTTTTAACATCACTTTTTGGAAAGCAAGCAGTTCATGCAATTTATCTCCAGTACAGAGATGCTCATCTTGTGTCAGACACACCACTCCATGATGTAGGGCTGCCGACCTTAACCTTTGTAAGTCACTGGTTGTGAATAGTTTCCAGGAACTGCTTTCTGCGAAGCGGACTATTTATCTGAACAACAGCAGCAACAGGAGAGGTAGCATGTCTATTTGAAGAGGAGACATGAAGCTGGACATTTCATCTAGAAGTCATTTTGATTCATTCTAGAGCCATAATTCTCTTCCCAACAACAGTCTCAAAAGCAAGACTCAGAGGCAGCAGTGCATTGGGCTGCACTGGAAAACAATGACAGGGTGTCTCCAAACACTGAAGTCCACTTCTCATAACTAACATGACTGATAAACTTCTCTTCCACAATTGTGTTTAATCTTAACTTTTTAGTGGCCACCTTAAGCTATTATGGCATTTTGTAGTCGTATAATGGATTCTGTTGATAATCATACATTTTACGAGGACACTTTAACTGGTGTCAACTAATTCTGCTCTGGGTTTTAACTCCAAATCAAATTATTGTGATTGAGTAATGGAAGAAGGAAGGGGAATTGTTGCAACATAAAAGGTTGTCTGAGTAAAGCAAATAAGCAGTTAAGAACGCATGGATATCACTCATGACTCATTCTGCTCTAGTTAAACATTAACACACTTCTTTCTTATCAAGTCCCATTTCCTCACTGAAATGTAATTCCCTCAGTGCTAGCTTTAGTACGGAGGGTGAAAGACAGTGGTAGACTGAAAATTCTATGTTGAAAAAAAAAAGTGTTTTCCATTATAATACAGTTGCAACCACTTTTGCCAGGCAAGATTATCATACAGTAAAACATTTAAGCACTGCATTTGCAACATTCCTGGAACGTATGTTGAAAAGTGCAAACATTAAAAAATAGCATTGCAACTTTTTAAAAAGAACTATGCAAAATATAAATTTAGCGGGTGCCTTTGAGAAGCTGGATTTTTAATAATGTTGTTGATTCCAGTAGTAGGAGAAAGGTAGGATATTTATTTTATTTATTTAGGATATAGGGAAAGGAAAGCTCTGTTCTTACCCTTGCAAATATTAAACAATGAAGTGGCAACACTTTAATCCTACTTTCCTAAAAAGATTAGGTCAGGTTAGATTCTGTACCTTTAACTTCCTGTAACCCTAAACCATCTGCCCACATCTGAGTAGAGGAGTTTCCCAAGAAATAAAAAACAGCCAGTAGACGTCTTTAGGACGTGTCTAATATCTCACGCTCCAGGTATCTTTTTCTCCATTGCTGTTTTATGGAAAGCTAAATGGCAAGTTTTTGTATTTTCCTTTTCTTAAGCTATGTAGATGGAATGCATAATTTTAGTTGGCCACATTCTTTGTATGAGAACGTTTCTGCTTTAATCTTACCCACTGACAGTTTGCCAGGCAATCCAGAGCTGAAACAAATTTGTACGAAGGGTTTAGCCACAATTATGAGTTGGCACATTACTAGGAAAGGCAATAGATAGCCACAATGTGTAGCCTTGCCTGGGCTGGCAAGTGAAGGTTTTGTTGAAGTTTTCTAGATCAGTGGCTAGCTGATTTCATGCTCCTGTTTTGCTCCCATAATTTGACTTCAAAGACTCTATAAGCTGCAGATCCACCAACTGCAAGGAAAAACCTTTGGCAGAGAGAGAGATGATGATCATGATGATGATGATGTTGCAGTCAGAATGGCAAAAGCTTACAAAAGTTGGTGGAGCTGCGCCTGTGTAGGAAGAGGTGCATATTTTTCCTATCAGTGCAAAATCCTGCAGTTGGCAAATCCTTTAAGCCTTCGAAAAACCTCAGCTGCTGCAAACAATGGGTTCATTTAATGCCAATTGTAATGGGATTTTTATTAGGAACCAGAACAAAACCAGGACTTCCTTTCACAGTAGGGTCAATCAACACTCATCAGGTGGTAGGAATTTTAGACTGTACCAAGTACCAACTAAGATCGCATTGGGAAGAATTCCAGAAACAACTATTTCAAGGCCCACTGGCCCCTCTATCCTTCCATTCATCCCATCTTTTCTTAGTAATCCTTAAAATGAAGCACGAATGTTAAGAAGCCCATAAAAATCTGTCTTTTCCTCAGTTTGAAATGGTAGATCATCTAGACACTAAAAAAAGAGAGTTCACCATCAAAAATGTTAAAGCACCAAATTTACTTTAATGGTGTTTAGTGTAAAATATAAGAAATATCATGCCTTCAGACTCACACTGTGATGATACAGAAAGAAAAATAAATGGTCAGGAAAGGGAAAGCAAGCACCCACTTTTCCCTTTCCTGCACCTATGACTTCCTGGGAGGCAGGGCAGGCAGTTTGCTGGCGGCCCCTCATTCCTCTCTCTGATGGCAGGGATGCTCCCTTTTAGCTCTGCAGTCCCAGGGTAATCATCGGGAGGAACCATCTGTTCTTTCTGGCAAAGAGGACAAGCAAGCTCTAAAGTCTGGTCCTTTTTCAATTGATGGGTGGCATTCCACATTTCTATTGCATGTTAAATTTCAGAATTTTCAACTATGTCTCATTCTTTAATTCTAATTGGGAGCCAGTCGAAGAGGAAGAAATAAACATGGATCCCGCAGCTGATGATAACTAGCTGAGAGAGGAACCCGAGATGTTTTGAACAATGTGGTGATGTTTACGTGACACCTCGCCACTATGGCAAACATAAATAGATGAAATAAATTATGAAGAATTTGCTACCTTTAAGTAACACCTGAATAAGGCTCATGAGTTATCTAGTCAGCTTCATATCTGAGTGTTGATTTGCCCCTGTGTGTTTTTGATCAGATTCTAAAATCTATGGAATCATATTTTGGAATCAGACTAATAACACACAGGTACGAATCTACACTGAACCTTGTTCAGGCATTACAGTACGTGCATGCTTAGAAATGCCACATTGAGAAGACAGGATCTAGTGCCTCTTCTCTCCATAAATATTTTCTATATTATGTGGAAAGTGGTATGTCTGCAGAGAAGAGGTTCCTGCTCACAGGCAGGCTCTCTTCATGAGAAAGAACCCTAATTTTTTGCCTGCATGTACAGCCTATGTCCAAGCAGACGCCTCTCCTCTGCTGATGTGTCAGTTTTTACACATGGAATGCAATGGAAGAGAAGGGAGAGGTTAGGCAGTCCCTTCTTAGTAGTAGTAAACCCAACTGTGAAAATAATATTTGAACAGGGCTCATGTGCTCCCCTGTAAGTGTTGTGATCCTGTCCACAACGCTTATGAACAGCTCGAATGATTACACAGGGCTGTAATGTTTAGAAAATAATTTGAAGGCTTGACGTTTTCTGGTCTCTATGGAAGAAGAATACTGTAGAATTAAAAGTGCAAAAGAGAAACAAGTTTATCCCCAAACCTATTGACTAATGTAGGGCCATCTCATCCAACCTAATGGCCAGGTTGGCCTCGCATGGGCATATCAGAGTAAACAGCACATTATTTACTCAGCCTTGTACCTTTCAGATTAACTTCTCAGAATATATTTCAACCAAGCTAGAATCAAAGCCATGGGTTAAACAATCTGTATAGGTTCAATACTTTTAAAAGGATTTCAGAGACATGAAGGAATCAGCATTAGAGTTTGAGGGCGTGAAATGTAGTTAATATGGAAAATTGTCTATGTTATTATCCCTCACTCCCAAATTACAATACATCCTAGCATGAAAATCTATCTCCACTCTTCCATGCCAGTCACATGAAAATGTTGAGAGAGTAATCTAGGGGCACAAATGCCATTCGTTTCAGAACAGCTGCATATATACCTCCGTTCTTCAAAAGGGGGGGGGGAATCTATGTGGGGTAATATCCCAGTTCCCACTCTGTGAAATTTTCCTTCTCAGTCTGTGTATGTCTCACCTGCCACAGAACCCATGAACTCCCAGTATGAAAATAATCATTCTTCATTGAGACTAAAAAGGCCAAGAACATTACACTGTTAAAATCTGGTGCTTGAGTCCTCTATCATGCCATATCCTGGTATCCTCCATTGTTGCAGCGCATGGGAGCCATGCTGTTATCATTCAGCAACATAAAAGCAATGGGTGTTTCCTTTGCTTCTGCCTGCTTCCACCTCAACTATCCTCATTAAAACTTTTGGTCAGCATGAGTGCCTCATGCTCCTCCTTTTTGGTGTGCTTCTACCTGAGCCAATGAGCCAATGGTAGGCCATGAAAATGTTTCCTCTTATGCCACGAGTGGACCCAAACTTGTTATTTTGCTCTCCCACCCCAACTCTATCTTCAAAATCTCTGCCCTGTATACTGTACTGTATTTCAGTGGCCGGTATTGTGCTATGTTGTACGGTACTATGAAAATGTTCCTGTTTGTACTGCTCCTGTTGTGTTTTCTATAATGTGAAAAGCTGGTAGACGGTTCCCACCATGGCATTTTAATGCCTGTTCTTTCTGGTGACTCAAACTGGTGTATTCTTCAAAAGGGGTTATGGAAAAATAACGTTATGGAAAAATAACTGGCATGAATCAAACAAGCTAATAGGATGTGAGGTAAATGAATTTGAAAGGTGGCATGAAAACAATTCAGCAAAGAAGGTTCCACTGCATCCAAGTCACTGTTTACAGGACGAGTGAAGCCAGTTTAAAAAATTACACTGGAATTAAATTATTGTCCCTCAGAGCGCTTCTACCAGCAGGCTAAACTGTGTTCAGGAAAGGTAAACACAAGGCTTGAACCAATTACTTGGGTCACGATTCGTGGAAAATTAAGCTCTTTGAAATCCCATTGATTAAGAAAGGAAAACAGTTACTAAGATCTCTCAATTAAAATCATTGGGACTTCAAAATCCTTAACTAGGATCATAGCCTTTTTTACACAACACTCTCTTATGATAGTGTTTCAATCAATAGTATTCCAGAGGTGACATGTTTGTATTATGCTATTTATTGAATTGCATTTTATACAGTAGGGACCAGTGGTTCTTAGCTACATGTCCTGGATAACTTAGGCTTCTATCTGATACTGAATATAGGTAAGATACTTATTTACCTAAGAGTAAGCCCTTTGAACTGAATGGGACTTACTTCTGAACAGACACATACAGCGTTGTACAGTAAGGGAATCAGATTCAGATAAACTGTCAATGTATCATAACTTATTTGAGTGCCACTATTAATACAGAATGTATTATTAATATTAACAAACTTAGAACATTGATTGGGTAGCAAACAATTTAAACATACAGTTTAAAACAACAAAATGTGTAATAATAAATTAAAGATACTGGCTCAACATATGCATGACAAAGTAAAACAAGCAAAATTGAAACTGCTTCCCCAAATACATAAATACATTTATCATCAGATTCAGTTCAGCTCCTAAGAAGAATGCTTGATCATGAATCTTTTCTATGTACAAACATGGAATGAAAGCTTGGGTAAAGATATTAGGCAGGAGCTGACTTATGCAAAGCAAAAAAGGCACATGCTCACACTTCTACATAATATACGCGTGAGACAACTTCAAGTTTGAATTGCTTCATTTTAAATGAACACTTCTAATTTATCTTTAAATACAGTAACCCCCCCCCCAAATATTCAAGATGGCTCCTTCATATGCCCAGCTTTGCAAACAGGGCTAAATTATTTTGATAATTTGTTGATCCTCTGATTTTGATGGTTGTTAGTTCTATTCTTTGGATTGGATTGGCTAACAAATATAACTACTGACTAATTCCTAAATACACTCATCAAGATCAACAACCATAAAATACATTACCATCATCTAACAATATAATCACTACTTAATCTCCAATAGTCATCCCCACATCTTGCAGTAGCAAATCCCAGGAATGAATGGTGCATGGTGTAAAAACTCCTAGTATTAAGGTGATCCTGCTTTCCAGTGAGTTTAGTTGTTAACTTCTATTATTGCAAGAGATGTGAAGGGACAGCTATATACTCAACACTATGACAATGTTCCTTCCACTAAAAACAAACAGGTGAGATCACAAGGATTTTGTGATTTAGAGATTTACACCAATGCATCCTGGATCACACCACTACTCTTACCTTCAAAAAACAATAAATGTATAAGCTGGCTCTACAGTACAATTGCCATTCTTTTTTTTCTTTCTTTTTTTTAAGAAAAGGCCTTTGCTCTTGGCAAAGAAGGGGTAAACAAACAAAAATGAGGTGATTAATGGACTCTGGCAGGTGATTGAGATTACACCAGGCAGTGTTCATTATCTCTCAAGCAAGAGCATATTTTTTGCATTTTCTAGCTGGTAAGTCTTGCTGGGGCTAGTCCAGGAAATCAGCCAAAGAATGCATCCTTCACATCTCCCATCACAGGATACTTAAAAAAAAAATTCTTTATATAATCATGGTGGCTGGAAATGAAACCATTCACATTTCTTGAAAAGAGTATTGAAAGAAGATCTATTTTGTTGGTCCTCCAAACAAAGCTACCACCTAATTACAGTAGGTTGATCCATTCAGCTTGCTAGTGTCTCCAAAATTTCAAACATTTCCCATTCTTCTTTACCCAAGTCTTCACCTGGAAGACCGAAATGGAGACGTTAATATTAAAACACTGGTGTCTTCCACACTGAACAACGATGCACGAAAAAAATTACAGTTCAGTGATAGGCATATACATTAAATGCAAAAAATCCTGGGTTCAATTGCTGTCATTTACTACACTGGCAAAAGACTCCGGACTGAGACTCTGGAGGGCCACAGCTCATTAGGGTAGCAACTATTCCATGACAAGGTCTGACTTGATATAAGAAAGCTTATCAGCTTGATTATACTCCTAAGAGAGTGTGCACTGAATAAGAATCAGATCTTGTTGACATGCAGTCCATTGTATCTTGAGTAGTGGCAAAGGATCTGTTTGTCAGGTGAAGGTATCAAATGGTACCAGAGAGACCTAAGGGAAGCTTGATGGCTTACAAGCTAAATGCTAAACTCATCAAATCAGTAAATCCCATTAAGATTCACCCACCACAAATGTTTCTTGCATTCACATCATATAGTTCAGCGGTGCTTAATTAATAATATACTGCCTATTCAAATCTAAATTATGCCAGTCATTTCCAGAGATGCCTAGGCGTAGAGTCCTTAGGAGTGTTTAGCATTCCCTTCTTCTGGAGGTGCTCTGGGCCATGTAGCATGAGGAACAGCTACAAAGCACAATATAGAACTGAATTTCTGACCCCTGGCTTCACAGCCATGTACTCCAACCCACAGAGCTACCCAGCCAGTCATATCTGTGGTTTCAAGTCAACCTAGTTTATTCCCAGGTAATTTGCCTGGGGTCAGAAGACCTCACGGCAAATTAGTAAAAAGACAGAGTAAAAATACAATTAGTATTCACTGTAAAAAAAAAAGAGAGAGTGAAAAATCTACAGGAGAAAACCAGAAGACAACTTAGAAAGGCTTTAATAGAACTTACAGGTTCTGTGTGTATCATCAGATTTGAAAAAGCAAGTTACTGAAGAAGTAACTGTTACTTATTTTTCTCCAAGTGCACCATTTCAAGCCATATGTTTAAACTGACTCCCACCTTCAATTACACGGGAACATATCATGTTGGGGAAATGGCTACCCAAATCTTTCTCCCCCAAACTATTTTTCCATGTTAAGGGCAAGGTAGTTTTTGTTCTCAGACTGAAGAATACATAAACATTAAATACTGGAACAGAAGTGGAACAGCACAGGAGAGATTTACCACTTGATTCTCCTGAAGAGTGCTACTGGACAACAGTGTGGTCAGGGTTCAGGACTGAAAGTTCATCCAGATTTTTTCTTGTGGTACGGTTTACCCATAGCTAATGTTGAAAATCCTTTATTGCTCCACAGGCTGATTACAAGTAGAGGCTGCTACACATCCATGCTTTAGGAATTTGCTTTGGGAAAACTCTGTGGACAGACTGGGGTTTCTACGTAAATGCAGAAAAACATTCCTAAATAGGAGGCTTCTAGCTGTTATACAAGCAACAAAATAAATAACAACCATACCAATTAAATATGGTAGAAAGGATAAGAAAGATATAAGCTTTTCACAGGTTAACGAGAGATGTTAGTAACTGTTGCTCAATACTGCTCAGTCAGCATTTACTGATTAACTGCAAGCTACAAGTGTTCTCTCAGAAAAGGCTAATAATTCTGTTTACCACAGGACAAAGTAAACAAAAAGAAAACACCTTTGCGATATTTCCGTTTTTGTATAATAATATATGCAAATATATTCAGTGATTATTACATCAGTCTCATTTGCCTTCAATTTGCTATTGCTACAGCAATGATTAACATTCATGGAATTGAGTCAGACTGAAACGTTCCCTCAGAAATGCTGCCTCCCACATTATTCTGAGGTGATTCTAACTTTGAATTCTTGTTGCAAAGATTTGTGTAGCAGACAGGATATGGCATCACAGCCATTAAATGGTAGAAAGACACAGAGAGGACTTTGGTGCCAAACAACACTGTCAAAACAAACTTGTTAGGAAATCCTTATTTCTCATACTTGATGACAGCTCTGGTTCTCCCCCCCCCCGCCGCTTCTTCTTCCTCTTTTAATTCAAAGAAGCAAAAAAAGCTAAAGCCTAGCAACAAAATGATGCCGCTGGAGTTGGAACACAGTTGATTAAAGTAGACGACACCCCTGTCCGGGGGGGGGGCGTATTGTACATCACCTTTCAAGTAGCTGATCAGGATTATGCAACGTTGTGGTTATAATTTCCCACTGGTTTTCTCATGTGAGAAAACAGCAGATTCCTTTTCCTTAGAATCTGATGGGAGTAGAGAGAAGTAACGTCAGGTACACAGAATGGACATGGCAAACACTGGGCTGTGTTGACTGGAAAAGAGGGAAACTTCTTCTGACCAGAAAGTAATTTTGTGGGCTTCTCCACTCTACAGTCACATAGCATTTCCAAAGAAAGATGCGAATAGGCCAGGTCACGTGGTCTTCCAGTTTTCTTTACTATGCAAGGTCCTATACTGTATGTTGTATCATGCAAACCGGTCCCTAGGAGCTATATAAAGTACAAGACACGTTGCTTCCCAAGGCTGATGGTAGCCCTCTGAATCCTAGGTAAGGAAGCTGACTTGATGGGCAATTGACTGGATGGACAATAGGCTAGTTTAGGGAGCTCAGGACAAGTCATTCAAGACACACACTTCTATATCCTTCCACAGAAGCAAACATTTAAGACAACTCGGGAGAAATAGTCCAAGGACTGCCACCACTGGCGCCTAGCATCTGCTACCTGAGATCATTGCTTTGCTCTGTTTAATGACAGTGGCAGTTCCGCCAAAGCCACAGTGACATAAGCACCCCTGCAAAAGATACATCACTTGGGGCCCTGCACCTCTGCAAGTGAATAGCCCATACGCTGTACAGTAAGAACAGTCAGGTCAGCTTCTCAACCTCACCGGCAGCAAAGGAGCGCCTGTTTGTGGGACAGAGGTGGGATTACTAAACAACTCCTAATTGTGCAGGCAATGTGTACTAGTGAAATGCATAAAAATGGGATACAGCAAAGAGAGCAGACCTGAATACTCCTCTTCCCCATTTGCCAGGTATAAAATTCAGCTAGCTTCAGCAATGCAAAAAAAACAACTTCTTATCAGAGAACCTGCAAAGATCAAAAGACAAAAGCAGTGATGGCAATAAACCAATCAGAGAATAAATGTAAAATATCCAAAGTGTTGCCAAATATGCAGGTTGTCTCTTCAGTCTACAGGGGATGTTTGCTTCACAAACATTTTCCTCATTGCAAGGAGATGTCAAACTTCCACGATACATGCTCACTTGGGGCAGATTTTTGAGATGTGTGGAGATAGTTGTTGTTTTTAAGCTGTTTTCTTAACATACAACAGAAGGTCATTCCTGTGACAGGAATTTGTGTGAATTTTCAAATGACTGATACCATTTTGGAAGGGTTACTTTTTTCAATTGCAACTCCTCAACTCCTCAAGACAATGGTAGTCACAAGCTGTGCTGGCTGAGGAGAATTCTGGAAACTGTAACCCAACCAAGTAATTTTTTTCAAGCTCTGACTGCTGCTGTATAACTGTTTTTCACATGCACGTCAATGGGAGCTAAACCCTGTTAATTCAATAAACCCAACAAGGTGTGGTGTTCTCTCTTCTCATGCAGAGATTCAAACTAAGCCAGAACTGTCCTGAAGCAAATAAAGATTGTTCCAGAATCAGAGAGAGATATTTTTCCTGTTGGAAAGAAAGATGTCCCCACCAGTAATGCAGAAATTAAAAAGTACAGGCTTGCACTTTTTAAAAATTATGCAATGTTCCCTTTGCAGTACATGTGATGGCTGCTGCTATCTATTCTTAGTTTCAAAGGATAAGGATATGTCACATACTGTGGAAAAAATATTAGGGAACAAACAAAATTCTGCTCTCTGGCATGTAGAAAGAAAGCACCCAGGAATAAATTCCACAAAAAGCAGATCAAAATCTAAGTCAACAAGTTGCTATTTCCTGCTTCCATGATGAAAGAGAAGAAGGAAATAGCAACAGTGTGTAAATAAAAATAGCAAATTCCACCTCAGTTGTGGTTTTCAGGTGTCTCAGCCTGGCCCTGCCCCCCCCACTGCCCCAAGCCAATGGCATATGTTATATTACCTTCTCCAACTAGATGTTTCAGATGTGACAATTTTCAAGTATCATACACCTCTACCTGAATCCATGTATGGAGTTCCTGAATCACTGAGTAAAACACACAATGTAATCCGTTACAAGGTTGTGAATGGTGACCATTTAAATATAACTTCACAATCTGATGGTCTGTCATGAAACAAGTTTCCTAGATTACACATTCATACATATATATTCATACAGTACGTGTATATGCAGACACAAGAGTGACTGATGGAAATACAACACGATCAAGAACACCCCTATCCTGCCATTCTTTTCTTGAAAGAAATAGAGAAATATTTCAGCATGTGCAATTTCAAATATTGTCTTTATCGTTTGTATGTGTTATATATTTGCCTTCCCCCATCTCTAGTCTGCAACATTTGAGTTTTAGATTTTAAAAAATTACCTTCATGTTTAACAGGCACATTGAGGTTTGTTTTAGTCAGGATCCTCCATTTTAAATATATTTGTTGTGTTAAACGCAATTACAATCTTAACACATTGGCATCAGACCGCCATGCAGAGAGGGAAGGGTGGCAGCAGAGCAAACCTACATGGGTTAACAGACAGGTATACATGCAGATACTCATTATTTTTACATCACTACATAGTGGCTTCCTGTAAATGGGTAACCAAGTATTCATCAATTTACACGCTCTTGAGAAACAATAGAAATTATAAAGATATTGAATGAAAAAATCCCAGAGACTTGCTGCATTTGGATATAGCAATATTATAGGGACAATGTCACCATCCTTCCTCATCCCCTTCACCTCCATTAGTAGCTACTTCCTTTTTGAATTAACTACACCAGTGCTCTGGGACTGCAGCTCCCAGAAACCCTGGCCAGCACTAGTGATGAAGGCTTCTGGGAGTTGCAGTCTAAGAACTGGGGTTAGGGTTTGGTGTTTACCAGTTTGGGGAACTACTGAGCTACACTATTTAGCATTATGCCCTAACTCTAAATGTGGTGAATGTTAACTATGGTCTATTGACCCAAACCAGCTTCAAAATCAAAGCTGGCTTGTTTCAGTATGCCATAGTTAAGACAAATGTGTGTTTGAGTTTGGTTGCTAAACTGTGATAGATCAAAAAGGAAAGTGAAAACTCTGAGCCTCCCTCTCCTCACCATGTGGGAATGGAGGGTGTGTGTGACTAAGGCTTGTGTAGGCTCATTCCCACAATTTAGCCTTATGGCCAAGTGTAACCTATGAATAATTTTTAAAAAATAGGTGCACAAAACTCCACAGGGAACGTCTATAATTCTCATTAAATCTACTGTATATTTGTGCTTAGGCAGTGCCCCTGACCCTTCAACTACTTAAAAACACAAAAGGCCCTCTTTCTTCTGTAACTTTTCTGTTTTAGTAGAGAGAGTCTAATAAAGGCGAAGACTGGAACTTCCCACTGATCTGATGGGGAAAGCTTGTATAAGAGCACAACATTGCTTTGGATCAGGACAAATAATTATAACAAATGTCTCTGCTCTTAGGTATCTAAAAGAGACTACTGAATGGGGCATGGGACTGAGCTGAAAACAGGGGCATCAAAATGAAACATATTTCTATGGTAAATGCCACTGAGGAACACATTGTCAGGAAAACATTCATGTCCAATCTGCAGTCATCAGAGCGCTGAGCTTCTTTTCCTAATCCAGAATGGGGAAATGCACAAGAAATCCCAGTTCCTGCAACATGTTCAGAATACGTCTCTCCTTCAGGCTGCACTGAAGCAGCATTTGTGCTCTGCAGCAACTCAGGCTGCTGTTCTGTGTATCCCTATATATTGTACCCGTTAGTGAGAAATTCAAGGAAAAGAGCAACAGAGATCCACAAACTTCAGCTTTGTGGAAGGCTCAACAGGAAGTAATTCACCCTTTTATCATTGTGGATGAAGATGACAGAAAGAGAAAGGGATGCCTCAACTTATCACCAAGAAAGCAAAAAGCAGTGTACGCTTTTGTTAACAGCAATAGAACTCAGTCTTGAGTCCTTCACCGTATTACATGTGAGAAATCACAGGAATGTGAATTATTGTCTCATTATGAAATTGAAATGTTGTGCAGATGCACAGCTGCAAACATAGATCACAGAGCCATTTATCCAGAAGTTAGGAACAGTAATGTAAGATTTAACTAACATCTGCTCTATGATTGCTATATATTTATACACTTACTGTATCTAGATGTAGTTCTATAGAGAAGTCAATATTTTGTAAAGCAGGGAATTGTTTCTAAATGCTGTCCAAGCTGTGAAATGCCCTACAAACACCAGGTCATAGGCACCTTGTCCAAAGCAGTCAATGGGTTTTAAATAGCAGTGCCATGTTTGCTAGCTTTACCACTTCTTTCCACTCAAAACCCTAATAATAAACAATACACGCAATCAGGCATTTCTCACAATAACTGCAAAGAGAATAGGAAATGTTTCAAGTAAACTACATTTGGCTTAACACCGGCTGGTTCACACAGACTTCTTAGTACCTTTGGCCCCAGGTAGTCAAGCCCTGAAAGATGAATACCAGCCCATCTCTGGCAGTGCAGACAGTCCCATGCTGACTTGCAAACATTCACTCCCTATTCAGGGAAGAAACCTCAGCAGGTTTGCTCACTTGCTCCTCCAATTCATGTGTTCTGATAAGACAGTTCAAACATGTTGCAAGCCTCTTCCAGACTCTCATCCATGTTGAGCCTTCTCCAGAAAGACTTCTGCTTCATCTGAAGCTCCCTCCGCACACACCTGGGGCAGGGCACAGCCTTCACCTTGCATTCCGAATGGAAGACAGCACCACAACTCTCACACCTAGAAATACAAAAGCAGATATGTATTGGTCTTTTTAAAATTATCAGCTTCTTGCCTCACCAATCAGGCAACTTAGGTGTTAACTTGAATACATTCCCAGAGTTGGTTTCCCCTATGGCAGCTTTGTCCTGACTCTGGAAAACCAGCCACAGAAAGAGAGGTTCATGCAGAGATAGATGAGCAGGCCCTGTTAAATTCTCATGAGAAGGGGCTGTCAGGAAAAAGAAAAAAAAGAAAAAAAACAAGCTTTTTGCAGTTTATGTCTCCTATAGTCATTCTATCAAAGAACTAGAATTCCACCACCACAGAAACAAAAAGCTCAGATGGACTCTGCTTTGCAGAGGTTCCGTTATTTAGGGCATTGTTGGGAGGAAACACAAATTAACAAATTAAAAGTGATAATTCCATTAGTAATTACAGGCAGGAAGAATTAGGTGAAACACTGAGTGTCCCAAATTATCAACTAGCAATGAATGAAAGATTACAACATGCTGGGGGGGGGGGGAGGCACAATAATAGAGCACTTTAAAGACAAATGGTTTATTTCAGTGCCAGGTTTCATCAACCAAAATCCACTTCCCCAGAATCTGAAAAACTGGCATTCTGATCCACAAAAGCTTAGACTTAAATAAAGCTGTTGATCTTTAAAGTGCTATTTTGTCTGTTCTTTTTCTTTCCCCCACATGTCAAGACAGAACATAGCTACTTCTTTGGGACTTGCTACAAATGATCACATGTGGATAATCCGTGGCAGATGATATGTCACACTTGCAGAAAGAGACAGAAACTGAATGAGACCAAATTCTTAGTCATTGTTACGGAAACCATGCATTCCCACCTAGTCAACGTCTGTGTGTCACTGGTGGATGCCTGTATTGCTGGCTGAGAAGCACTGGGTCCATCTCATAGAGTTCAGCAGGACAGCATTCAAGCTGCAGTCTGGCATGTGATTATTGAAGTGGATGGGATTTAAACAGTCTAACAGTATGCAGGATTGCAGCTGTTACCACTTGCTTAATCTCAAAATCTCTCACAGATTTTACACGCTTAGCTTAAACACGTTATCCATTCTTTACTAGTTTGGGACACATGTGGGCAACTCCAGGGAGAGCTGAGATGACAGCCAAAGAAAACAGTGGTGCTTAAAATTTTTAAATCATCCACATCTGACACTAATGCTAACTTTATCAAGCTAATTCCCCTTTCGTTAGTGATTTACAATTCCTTGGGAATTGCTGGGACTAATGATTGATGAGAATGTCATTTTGCATTCATTCATGGCCTCTCCCTTTCCCCTCTTTTGATCACTCCTCTCAGTCAACTGGAGAATGTAAAAGCTTATCTGGAATTTCTGTTGAAATGGAAGCCTGCAGGATTATGGAAAAGTGAAACACACCTGCCACTGCTAACCAGATGCTTTAAATCAGGGGGCTGTATGGGGTGGGATAAGAGTAATGATTTTAAAATTAAGAATAAATACACCAAACAATTTGCAAAAGAATAACCATCAAAAAGCCCCTCCGCTGTATCATCAGTAATCAATTCATTTCTTGATAAAAGGAGGAGAAAAAAGGATGATTACGACTATGTGATTGTTATTGTTGAGGCTGTTTCTAAGTGTTGTATATTGTTTTAATTATACTCTATATTTTATCACTTAATGTTTTTTAACCATGTGGACTACTTTGGATATAACAATGGGAATCCATTAAATGGGGCTTACAAATACCTTCCGTTCTGGACAATTTTAAAAGAGAACTTATAAGGGGGAAGACTCTCAACAGCCACTAGCCCTCATGCCTGCGTATTCCCGCCAATAGCAGCAGCAACGCATGAGTTGTGCCAAAATTGGTTAAGTGTGCTAAGCCAACAGTAAAGCAGTTGGTGGCGAACATGAGCAGGAAGGTGCTACAGTCATCATGTCCTGAAGTGGCACCTAGATGGCTGGCGCAGGAAAAGAAGGGTGGATTAGACACACCTTAGGTTTTATTCAGCAAAGCTTTATGGTCTTGCCATCTCAAAGCAATCTTCATTTTCCTCATCCCTGACCCTAAAAGTTACAACTGCTAAAGAGGCTCGGAAACAGGAATTTCAGCACTTTGTTAACGGCATGTTGTAGACTTCGTTTATAGCCCAAAGGTAATAAAGAGGAGAATGAAAGATGAACTTGAGTGACACTCTCCAAACTTGAAGCTTCTTACTGCAGCCAAGAAGTCCTACTCAGTCTTCCCCAGAAGCTCTATTCAGGCGTTACTAAGTGGGCGGTGGGAACAAGGGGAAGCAAATACGCCTTGCTCCTTATGTCTCCACCCCACCCAGAAGTTGGGAAGACCTTTGCATGTTTAATGTTTAATGCAAAAGAGGAACCTATAAGTGTCAAATGCCCTTACAGGATTCTTTGCAGACCCTCCTGTTAAACTTAGGAAGATCTCAGATAGTTCGTGTGTTTGTGTGCAGATAGAAGGATGGGGCTTATGTTTACAGCCCCATTTCACCATCCATTTAGCTCTACAAAGATTCGGGTATAACAACTAAATAGGACTGAAGTGTCACACAAAGCTGTGTGGTCTTCCTTTAGCTACACAATCACTCAGCCTTTCAACCAAAGGATCAAACACCCTCTTCTTGTCTGCCCACTCTGTCTTGCGCTAGCCAACTCTCTAACATGTGATGGCGAAGAGAAACACCTGCGTTGGAAAAATGGGTGTCCCTCAGGCCCATCTGTTATGATACTTATTTACAAAGGAGGTTCATTATTAATGTACCTTTATCCTCCTCTTCTCAGATCCTTTTGTGTACAAATACAATGGCATTGTGAAGACAACACTGGTTGCTTTGAAGATGACAGAGGACAAGACTTTCAGAGAAGCAGCTATGGTCTCATACACATACTCAGTTTTGTCTACAGCTGGTCATGTTTGGCTTCCCAGGATTGCAGCTGCAGTTGCAAGAAGGTGGAGACTAGTGCTCAACTTATTCATATGATGCTAGTCCATGGAGCAATTCAACTGGCAAGGTAGGGGGAAAAGTGCTCCCCAATCTTTTGTCCTCTGTCCTTGCCTTGAAACAGCTTCCCCCACTTCCAGTATTTCTATGAAGAAGCTAGCCCACATTTCCAGAGAGACAGTTCCTTGTCTCCCTTCCTGGTTGGAACACCTTGACAGAGTTCTGCCTTGTACAGCCAGCTAGAACTTCATCTCCTGGTGAAATAGTATGGCTTTCCAGCTAGCCTCCATTTGTGCCAAAGCTTATTACTTTTTAATTAACTACATGCCATCAGACAGATACCAACTGATGGCAACCCTGCCCAGAGGATTTTAGGTATAAAGTATTTTTGAGTACTGGTGGCTTGCTCAAGGCTGCCAGGTTGGCTCTTCTCCCAGGGGGCACACTGGGGATTCAAACTCCTGGCTCTGTAGCCAGGTGCTCCAACTCACTAAGGCAGTGGTTCCCAACCTTGGGTCCCCAGAAGTTCTTGGATTACAGCTTCCAGAAATCCTGGCCAGCATGGGTAGTGATGAACCCTTCTGGGTGTTTTAGTACAAGAAAATCGGGGACCTAAGATTGGGAACCACTGCACTAAACAATAAGCTATGAGCAAAGATGCTCCCCCCTGTGGGAAGATGTGATTTGCAGGATGCAGTGTCATATGAGTTTTTTATTCTGGCCCAGTTACTTATATATTTGCTGGACATATTTGCCGAACACAGATTTCCCAGGGTTTTTGAGTGAAGACTTGCCATTTCCTGGACAATCTCCCTGCTCCTTAAACTCTGAAAGCATATTTCTGTCTTGTCTCTGTTGTTGTTGTTGTTTAGTCGTTAACTCGTGTCCGACTCTTCATGACCGCATGGACCAGAGCACGCCAGGCCCTCCTGTCTTTCACTGCCTCCCGGAGTTCAGTCAAATTCAAATTTTAGGAAGTTGGCATAGTAACCAAACAATTTGCTTCTTCTATAAAATATATTGTGGTTAAAAAAAACTTGTTTGGTTCACTATGGGCCATTGTTCTTGAGCTAATTACTTCCATTTGTTCACATACATTTTGTGGTGAACTTAGACCAGTTGCTGTGTCTATGCCGCATTTTTTTAAAAAGTCCTTCCAGTTCTGGGTTCATCAAATGCACAAGTGAGCGTGGATATGTGTGAATAAAGATTATTGGCTGAAATCTACTCAAGATGGTACTCAATGAACCACATCAACAGATTATTTCATTTTCCATGTGGTCTGAATTCATGAATGTGCAAAAGAGTTGTTTTTAAAATATATTAACCATGAAACACACATTTCTCTATGACATCCCACACACATGAGATTATGATTTTAATGTTTGTGTGGAAAGTGTCTATTACACAAGGAGCAAAATGCCATTAAGTTGGAGGCTGGTGCACAGAGCATCTCTTTCTTTCTCTCACTTGTAACTAATACAGTTGTTTTTCATTCTGCACTGGAGTTTGGGTCCTCTTCTTTCTCATATTTCTAAAGTGGCAGCCAATAAGAAGATGAATGGCCCATTGCAGTTCAAATAGACAAAGATCCAGAGACAAAGCAGGTGAAGGGCAGGAGCTCCATCTGGCAGGTTCTTTTCAAAATAGCTGAAGAAACAGCAGCCTCCAAAAAAGAAAGAGCAGTTGCTGGCGCCAAACTTTATAGGACCAAAAGGGCACTAGAGGTGCAACGTCGTCAGCTGGTGGAGTTTCCAAAACTACTTAGCTGGTGCCTCTGAATAAGACAGAAAGACTGCCTAGAAGATGAATCAGGTAAGGGGCTGGATCTTGTTGGCCAGTTCAAAATCCACACCATCTTCTTGCCTTGCAGATGTCCTACTAGCAAATGGAAGAAAGCAAATCCTCAAGAATCTGGCAACAGAAGGTCTCCCAAGGTTGACTAGTAGCACAGATGGGCATTTCTTCTTCCTAAACACTTCTCTACATCTACACTACCAAGGAAAAGCTGTTCTCTGAGAAAACCTTCACTTCAAAAGGTGAAGATTTCATTGACAAGTCTTGGTCCTGAAACTTGTGCAAAACTACAATGTCATCCATTTCAGGATGTGCAGAGTGCTGTTCCTCCACATTATTAGCACGTGATCCGTAATTTCAGGAATTTGGGGTGGGTGGGTGGCGCAGCAGAAGGCATTGGCAAGACAGATGCCACTATTATCACCCTGCATGTATATTTTCTTCTTCACTAGCCTAAGAAAAGGTACTGCCCTAATATAAATTTCAGAAATCAACCCATTTACTATGTGCACGTTACTCTTTCTTACATTGTTAGACTTTGTACCAAATTACTCAAAGACCCAGTCCCAGGAAATTGAAAGAAGAATACCTCAACAACAAGAAAAACATGAAATCAAACAAACAGAAAAGGCAAGAATTTGCAAGCATTCTATACCAGTGTTAAGACAGCAAACTTGGGGGTCAGGGTATTGTTGGACAGGATGTAAGGAGCCTGCCAGGCACAGCCCACAAACCCTGGCTAATTAAGTGAAATGATTGTGTTTGTTTTGGAACCATTTGGCCAACAAAGGAATGTGTCACGCTGATTAGCAAGAAAAGGGTATGTAATATATGTGTATTCAGAGCTAGATGAGTGCATTATCCAGGTATTTGCTCTGTTTGCTCAAGGACTGACAAAAAAATGAATGCTAAGCAAACAGGCGAGTGCAAATGGAAACTCCAGCTCTTTAAGGAGGGCTCCAGTCCCCCAGCTCCCGGAAGATTTATCTGTCTCAGAGTGGCAGACAGACAGGTCTTGAGAAATTGCATCTGGACGCAGACCCAGAGAAAACCCTTTTTCTCCTAGCAGAAATTGTCCACTTTGCTAGCCTCTGTGAGGGATTTCATGATATCAGAGGAAGTTAAAAAAGTTTTTTTTTTTTTAAAGTAAAAATATATTAAAAATCCAATCCAGGCATGCCTTACCAAGGATCACCTGACTCACTGCTTTGCACGTTCTTCTAAAAAAGCAAGGGGAGTGCCTCTTTGGTAAGCAGAAAGTTCAGGGCAGTGGCCCACAAGTGACAGAACACACAAACCAAGGGGGCAGCTCTGCTCAGATTTCTAGTAATCCAAGAATTCCGTGAATGGGTTGGGGATGAGGAGATCTTTAGCGTCGTATAAACAAGGCCTCATCAGTGCATTTTATTGTTGGGAAGCTTTGCTTTTTAAAATACCTTTTCATATGGTTAAATTCTATCAGGAATTTAAACTTGTGCTGATTTAACCACAAATAAAGCACCATTTATTTATTTTTCATGTTTAGCATCGCGGAATGCATTCATGTGGATGGGCGGTAACAAATCCAGTATGGTACCAGCAAAGTATACAATACAGTGAGGTGAGGTAATATTTATTCCCATCTTAATTCAGGGGTAAAGTCTTAGAAAATTAATATTTTCATGGGCTATTCACTAGAGTCAGAAGAGTTACAGAGTTGGAAGAGACCACTGAGGCCATTCAGTCCAACCCCCTGCCATGCGTCCCCCATCAAAGTACTCCCGACATATGGCCATCCCGCCTCTGAATAAAAATCTCCAAAGAAGGAGACTCCACCACCCTTTGTGGCAGCCTATTCCACTGCCAGACAGTTCTGACCGTCAGGAAGTTCTTCCTAATGTTCAGATGGAATCTCTTTTCCTATACATTCTCTTTTCCACTACATTCACAAAACTGTATATATGCGTGTACACCCTCCCCTCAAGATCACACATACATATAAATTAAACCAGCTGGGAATTTCAGACTTAAGAAGCCTATCCTTCTCTCCTACAAGGAATATATTAAAAATGAAATAGTAATGAAAGCTGTTTAGTGATAACAAAATCTCATTCTCCAAAACCATGTCTGGTTGAAGGAGTTTGGAAGCAAAACGCCAACAGAAACTCGGTTTGCTAGTCTTCAAAGTGGCACACAAGACAATTTACAGACTTTCCTATTACAGCTGACTAATGGAACTACTTCTCTGGAAGCCTGACATCCATTTATCCATCCATCAAATTTATACTCCGCCCGTCTGCTCAACAGGGTCCTTGGGCAACTGATCTACCCTTGTGTTTGCAAAAACTGCCCTTTTTAGGCAGCTGCAAAATAACTGGGAAGGAAGCCACTATGAGGTGTTCCTATCCCACCTGCTCAGAGGCAGACATGCAAAAACAGGCACCAATGCCACAATCTGGCTAAAAATTCCGGGTATAATATTGAGCTAGATAAACTGGAATAGAAACTGTAAAATAACAATGGCGACATCATATAAAGAGAATCCATATAAAGTGTTCGAATAGAAATTGTAAAATAACAATGGCGACATCGTATAAAGAGAATCCATATAAAGTGTTGTACAGATGGCATTTATCACCTGCTAGATTAGCAAAAATGTTTCCTAATATGTCTAGTAAATGTTGGAAATGTGATCAAAAACTGGACACCTATGGTGGACTTGTGAAAAAGCTAAAATATTTTGGACCAAAATATACATATGGCTGGTTAAAATGCTTAGAAAACATACAGCCTTTAAACCAGAATTGTTCTTATTAGGTATTTTGCCAGAGAACTTTGATAGACAAAAATGTATATCTAACACTGCACATTTTGACAGCAGCTAGGATTATATTTGCACAATACTGGAAAAATGAAGAAGTACCAAGAGAAGAAAATATAACCAAGAATATTTTAGAGTGCGCAGAAGTGGACAGACTCACACTGAAGATGAAAAAGAAAGAAGATTCAGAATAGTTGTTGTGGGTTTTTCAGGCTCTTTGGCTGTGTTTATAGAACAAATTCCACGTTTTAAAGATTCAGAATACTTTAAACGTGGAATTTGTTCTATAATTGGCTAGAAGCACGGAGAAGAGATTAAGGCACAGGACAGAATAACAGATAATTATAAGCAAAACCCACGTAACCGAATGTTTATTAAGCATG